AATAGATACTATTTTGCGAAGTTATAGTGCTGTAAAAGAGATGTGTCAATTTCAGATTTTTAAGTTCAACTTTTCATAGATGGTTTTGATAGGTCCGTGTTTTTATTTTTAAGTATTTTAGCAGGCTGATTATTCCAGCTACCCCACAAAGGAATACCATTTCTTAAAGAAGACCACAAAGTGGGAAATTGGGTATTTAGCATAAAACAAATTTGCCGCAACCTTGTACCAATTGTAGTGGTAATACGCATTTTTTCTGCCTGCTTGAAGCACACAGTGAGTTTGTACTGTATATTTTGCAAACCTTATGTGTGCTACAGCTGTATAATACTTCATATGTTGCTCAACTCTGTTGTCTGAGTACAGCAATACCCCCGTATGTACCATTGCCAGATATATGTGGACGTTAAAGGGGCACTTTTGAGATACAGCCATTCCAGGTTTTTTCAAACTATGAATTTTTACGCTCGGTCCATGTCCCACTTTGTAGTTTCTTAAAAGGTCGCCTATCCCATCTACCCCACAAAGTCATACCATTTCTTAAAGAAGACACCCCAGGGTATTTCACAAGGCATATGTGGAACCTTAGTGTGGGATCATGTTTTTGCTAGCCTGTATGAAGTGTAGTGGTAATAAGCATTTTTACCTTTTTAACACTTTTTTTTTTCTATTTTATTTTTAAATTACTTTTAAAAACTTTTTTTACTATTTTGAAACTTTGTTTTAACTTTTTAAAGCTTTTTTTTAAAACTTTGTTTTAACCCCTAGCTAACCTAACAGTAAATCCCCTATTTTCCCCACTAACTTCTACCCACCCTAGCTAAATAAATAAATATTTTACAAATAGTTAAGTAACTAATTAAATAAATGTAACCCCGGGGGTTAAAAAATAAATAAAAGCTATTAAAAAAAAAAAAAAAATCAGACCACATTGAAATACTGTAATTTGTATTTTGATCACTGCAGACAGTGATCAAAGGGCAGGGAAGGGGTTAAATTGGTTTATTAGAAAGGGGCCAGGGGGGTTCATTTTAGTAATGGACAAAAATTTTAATTTGAAACTGATCAATTCAAATTATGAACAAGAGCATACTATTTGCTTTAGTCTAGGGACACGTCTATACAGATGTTTTTTGGGGGACATACAGGCTTTCAAACTTCTGATGGAAGTGGGGAGTCAGGGGGCGGATTTTAAACAATTTTTCATACTGTGGATTACTGCTTTGTAGTCACTCGCTATTATTGTTAAAATGCATAAACCGCAGTAATGTTTCATAACTGCATCTCATCATCGTTTGTGGTAAAATGGGAGTACTATTGATAGGATTCTTTGTCCAATACAAGCGAATAATGGGCTTCTTTATTATCTCCCTTAACATTGTGATTGCCCAAAATGTTTTAATTCAGGGACACTGGTGGGGCACCATGCCACTTTCCTGCAGTAATTGACGCAGGATTCTGGGCAAGATTCTGTTTGGCACAGTAATTGGTTTTAATTACAACTTTCCCTAAACTATCATCCTTCAGGAACAACTACATAACTGGGCCACAACTGCACATGTCAGCCTGTATGCCTGGAATTGCAGTAAGGATAGGGATGTCATGGGTAATATCATTGGTGGGTACCCAGTCATTTTCATCTAGGGCAGCATCAGGGGAATCTGCGCTTGTTTCTAGTTTAAGCCCATATTCCGAGTCACCTGCGGCACTTTCTGAGATGCTATCTTTTGCCTCTCACCCAACCCCTAAAATTGTATAAGCTTCCTCGGCAGTAAACCTTCTAAGCATTTTCAGACTGAACTTTAACTACAACTAAACAATCCTAAAAGTATTTTTGTAAAAAAAATTTTGTTTAAACATTTTCTTTTACTTTTTTTTTTGCTAACTAGCATAAAACAGCTAACTAAACCATCAATTAAAAATTATTAAAATTAAAAAATAAACCCCTGAGGGTTTAAAAAAAATAAAAAAATAACGACTGCGATCTTTATTCAGATCAAATGACAGTGAAAGGGTTACATTTGCGTTTACAGGGCTGAAAGGAGTTTTTTTAATTTGTTGATACAACATAATCACTAGCAGCACACAAAGTAACTCTCTGATTCATCTCTCTCCGCTTCACAACTGTGGAGGGAGACAGATCAGGTGTTCCAGAAAACTGTGATTGCTGAGACTGTTTCGGAATTCAGATCTGTTATAGTGTTCCTGTCACTAGTGTAATACTGCACTATAACTCAACCAAAGTAAAACATAAAATCAGTATGGAAAATTGATGTCAGAGCATTGTGCAAAGATGTATATACCTACTAAATATGCAGAATTACCGATAATATTTATTAACATAATTGAACCGAATTGTCCACATGAAGGGTCGTCTAAGAATCACCCCAATTTAAGTAACAAAGTAAATATGGGAGTTAACTAAAACCAGCTATAAAATGGTCCAACCATGAGACATAGTGCAACATCGATAAGAATAGGTTAGTGTTAATAGGAAAATAAGGATACGGTTGAACTTTTAAACCTGGTTTTCAAAAATCAAGTTCATAAGCAGGTTTAGGCAAAAGGTGATCAGAATACATTGGAGGTAAGAGGTTGGTAATCCTGTTACACGTTTCTAAAAACAGCGATTAAGCTCAGGAAACATTGTGTACACGAACAAATCAATATATCTCTGCTATTGATACTATTTTGTAAGCCTACTGATGTTGGTAATGTGGTGTGATGCTCATTGTCTGGTGAGACCGGTATCTGCAGCATTCTGTTGAGATTAGGCTGTGAATCCCCAATTGAGCTGCTAAAGATAGTGTGGGGCCATACGACTTTGGACAGCTGGTTGCCATAGCTCGGCCAGCTCCATGATTATATCCTGCAAGACTATGGCGGTCTTGTTAAGGAAAGGTCTTCTTAATATCTTAAATAATATTTGCTAAACGTATTCTTAAAGTATTGACAATGGGAAAGGGGACCCCCCAAAAAAACTAAAATTAATATACAACAATATCTGATAAAGTAGACAGCTAGATGCATAATTCCAAATTAAAAAATAGCGTACCATAAAATAGATCTCAGAATTCATATAAATAGATGCATAATTCCATGTTACAAAAATAAAAAATAACATACCATAATATGGATCAGTAATACAAATACGTTCCATAAAAAGGAGAACTACTATATCTCTATAATATGGAATTAAGGAGGAGAAAAAAAACCCTGTAATTAATCAAGAAAAGCTAAAATGTCCAGATCTGTGTTTAAACCTTATGAAATAGAAAAGTTTTCAATTGAAAAATCCATTTGGTTTCTTTCTTTGCAAAAAAAACACTAGTAGTATCACCACCTCTCCAGTGTGGTACTATATTATCTATCTCAATATATACAAAATCACTGAAATGTAAATCTATACAATTGTTACAATGCCTGGGTACGCTATGCTTTTCAAAGCTTCAAAAAGTACTTTCTACAAATGAAATACCACAATTGCACAGAATTACTTTTTTGCTTTCACAATGAATAAAATGGTGGAAACGTGTTGAATCTTTCGAAACTTGTGATTTTGTGGTTATAAGTACTGCAATTATCACTTTTTTTTGGTATTTTTCACTGTTCCATTAAAACACGCTCTTTGAACGTTGGGAGGACACTCGGTGCTAAAATTTTCATTTAGGTTTTCTGTTCTTTTATAAATAAATTTTGGTTGATCTTCTAAAGCTTTTCATAAAAACACATTCTTGTTTTAAAATCGGCCAATGTTTCCTGATTGCGTTTTTAAATCTTGTTTGCTTTATTGTTGTAGTGTGTTAAGAATACAACTTTACAATTAAAGGAACACTGTAGTCGCCTAAATTACTTTAGCTAAATAAAGCAGTTTTAGTGTATAGATAATTCTCCTGCAATTTCACTGCTCAATTCTCTGTCATTTAGGAGTTAAATCACTTTGTTTCTGTTTATGCAGCCCTAGCCACACCTCCCCTGGCTATGATTGACAGAGCCTGCATGAAAAAAAAAAACTGGTTTCACTTTCAAACCGATGTAATTTACCTTAAATAATGGTATCTCAATCTCTAAATTGAACTTTAATCACATACAGGAGGCTCTTGCAGGGTCTAGCAAGCTATTAACATAGCAGAGGATAAGAAAATCTTAATTAAACAGAACTTGCAATAAAGAAAGCCTAAATAGGGCTCTCTTTACAGGAAGTGTTTATGGAAGGCTGTGCAAGTCACGTGCAAGGAGGTGTGACTAGGGTTCGTAAACAAAGGGATTTAACTCCTAAATGGCAGAGGATTGAGCAGTGAGGCTGCAGGGGCATGATCTATACACCAAAACTGCTTTATTAAGCTAAAGTTGTTCTGGTGACTATAGTGTCCCTTTAATTCTTTTCATTTCTTATTTTCTATTTGAATAATTCTTCTCTATTAAAGTCCTCTACCTTTTCTTGAGATATGATTTACAAATCTCTAGGGTAGTGTCTATTGAGAATTGTTATATTTAAAACTTGCACTTGCTCATTAAAATCTTCCTTTTAGATCAATTCCTGAAAAGTCTAATTTGCCAACTTTTTGCAATATTACCTAACCATTCGGATGGTGACAACTATAAAACTCAATAAAGCCATTGCTGACTGTTGGTTTATATTTTATTGGGGGTCGGCCGGGGACTGACCAGCATTGCAGACAGACATGCATAATGTCTGCTTCACAAATAGATCTTGAATAACACGAGTTTATGGTGCAATTACACTCAGAAATCACTCAAGCAACTAGTTACTTGATCCTGCACTTTTGTGCTAAGTTGGAGAAGTATCTTATCTCTTGCAGCACACACACCAGAAGTGATCCACGCAGGGTCTTATAGTCTACTTGAAGCAGAAGCCCCGTTTATCCCCTCTCTGGACCTGTGGGGGATATCTAGGTCCCCGCCATGGAAACGGCTACTCTTAAATCAGAGGCACTACAGCCTGTTCTGGCAATGCAAGTACTCGTGGCACAGACAAGATGGCCGGCACACTGATGGAGAACTCAGTACAACAGTGGGAGTTCCAAACCAAGTTTGACAAAATATGCAATGCATTCTGGAATCGGTTGGCATCTCATGAGGAGGTGCTCACTTTACCTGCAGATGCGGAGACACTGGCGTCGTCCTGGTGCGTGTCGCTCCCCTTCTGGGCTGAGAGTCAGGATAGAAGGGGATTCCATCAGCCCTCCACAACCTGGGGAGACTCCTTGCAAATCGGGAGCCCCACAGGACGTTTTGGGGGGTTTGGTGGTTAGCAGGTACCAGTTCAAATGGAGGCCTGGGCATTAAGGGTGGATGGGTTGGGTCATCGCCTTGCTGATCTTCCATTCTGGTTGACCATTTCATGCAAACGGGAAGCATTGGCAGTGCCACCCGACATCTACTCATTGAAAGAGAAGCCGATCCCCAGATAAGACCTAACTGATGCACATGCTGAATAATCAATGCTTACTAGGTGTAGGCCTGGAAATTTAACTAAAAGCAGCTGTTATGTCTTTGTTAACTTTCTTGCATTATTACACCTGTTTTGCCTTGTTTGTACTTTCAGTTAGCGTTTTGTATATAGAGTCAAACGCCTACTAACATTAGACATGTGCAATTCGTTTTGGGCCAAATATGAATTCGGACGAATTTCAGGCAATTCGGACATTTGGGTACTTCCGAATGTCTGAATAGCCGAAGTGGCGAATTGCCGAATTACCGAGGTACCAAAGTTCCGAAACTACCGAATTTCCGAAGTTGCCTAAGTACTAATATACTTACCCAGTGGAAGAAGGAGAATGTTACACTGTATACAATTTTAAATAAAAAGTATACAAACATAGCCAGGATTCAGCTGTAAGCATTTGCAACACTTACAACAATCCAGTAACATACATTCATATAAAATGTAAGTTACTTGGCCAGTTATGTAATGACAGGAATGCATAAGTAGATAACTCCCTAATTCCCACAGTATTAGGGAGCTATCTACTAAAAGGCTGAAAGACCTAAATTGGTCTTTCAGAAAAATTTACTAATACAGATAAAGATTACTTAGTATTAGTAAATTATGCCCCTACTCGCTATACCGCGAGTAGGGGCATGTCTGTTAAACAGTGAGAAAGCTGTGGCTGCTCACTGTAAAAAAAGAAAAAAAAAAAGGTCCCCCCTCCCCCTCCTAACCTGAAGGGGGGACCTACTGCCCCCCCAGCCCCCACCCCTGAGCGGTTGGTGGGGGCCCTAAATCAGAATAAGGGGGGGACCTAATGTCCTCCCCCTAGCCCCCACCCCTGAGTGGTGGGTGGGGACCCTAAAATACTTATTGGGGGGACCTAATGTCCTCCACCCTGGCCCTAAACCCGTTCAGGGGTGGGGGCCCTAAATTAGAATGAGAAGGGAGGACCTAATGTCCTCCTCCTGGCCCCCCACCCCTGAGTGGTGGGTGGGGGCCCTAAAATACTAATTAGGGGGACCTAATGTCCTCCCCCTGTTCCCCACCCCTGAGCGGTGGGTGGGGGCCCTAAATACTAATTAAGGGGGGGACCTAATGTCCTCTCCCCTGGCCCCCACCGCTGAGCAGTGGGTGGGGGCCCTAAATAAAAAAAAAAAAACCCCGGGTGACCAAGGAGTCCACAAACCCCTAGTCACCCCCCTCCCCCCAACAATTAACCCCTACCTACCCCCAAAAATTAACCCCTACCTACCCCATCACCCAAAACATAATGAGGAGGGACCATTTAACTAAGTACCTGAAAAAAAACCATTTGATGTTTTATTTCTTTTAAAATCATCTTTTTTCAGCCCCAAAAAAGGCCAAATAAAAAGCCATGATGAGTCTGTATGTGCCAGTGTGTACCTGTGTGTCAATGTGTTTATGTGCAAGTGTGTGTATTTTTGTGTTTGTGTATCTGACAGCGTGTATGATTGTCAAAAACGAACCCTTTAAATTAACCCATGCAGCAGAAAATGCTACATCTGTCCTTACACAGGACCATGATGGTAAACAATGACCAATACTTCTCCACCATTTTGGACCCTGTTGCCAGGGGTGCCCCCTCATGTGCTAGGGCAGTGAGGCTGTTACTGCCCTCCTGGACAAAGCTACTGATATTGTCTTAGATAACCCAGTGACAATATGCCTTGCTTATGCCACCAAATGTTACTCTGAAAAGGTGTATGGTGTTAAATCCATCTACATTACTTCCCCTGGATTTAAAAGAGGGGAGTGGGGATTGTGGGAATGGTACTTGTACATCTGATCTTTTTGTAAATTCACTTTCACCAGATGAGTTAGCTGATGCCCAGGTATCCCATGATTGTGCAGCACTAATGGCACAAGAAACAGCAGGTTTTTTGCATGTAATTGATTCTCTATTATCCAATACAGATTTTGAGTTCTTTGTAGATGGTTCCAGATATGCTGATGAAAAGGGTAATTTCCACACTGGATATGCTGTAGTCTCTGCACATGAGGTGATAAAAGCTTAACCACTCTCTACTCACTGCTCTGCACAGGAGGCAGAGCTGAAGGCACTCGCTGAAGCTTGTAAAATGGCTTCTGGTAAGACTGCTAATATTTATACAGACTCTCGCTATGCTTTCGGTATAGCCCATGATTTTGGCCCTATTTGGCGGGCTCGTGATTTTCTCACCTCAATAGGAACTCCAATCAAGAATTCTGAAGCCGTGAGTGCACTTATGGACGCTATCCTGCTACCCACTCAAGTAGGCATCATCAAGCTCATGTGAAGATCACAGATGAAATCTCAAGGGTAAAACCACAAAGCAGACGAAGCTGCCAAGCAAGCAGCAACTCAAGTTCATCCCTCTCCAGGTAATACCTTCCTACAAGTTGTTTTTACAGATGACGCCGTTGACTACAATTTACTGTTGAGCTTACAAAGACATGCAAGCAAGGAATAACATGACCTCTGGAGGAACCAAGATGCACATGAACAGCATAGTAAACACCCATTGGGTAGCACCCGGTTTTACTGTAGCAGCTAAACACACCCAAGCTTGCATGATTTGTGCTAGAAACAATCCAGGACAGGCTGTCAAAACACCAAGTAAGCACACCAAGGCCACTTTACCCGTTTCAAAGACTGCAGATAGACTATATTCAACTGCCTAAGGTAGGAGTGTATGAATATGTGTTGGTGTGCATTGATCTCTGTTCAGGTTGGCCTGAGGCCTACCCAGTGTTGAAAGCCACAACGAAGGTCACAGCAAGTAAGCTTCTGAAGGAACTGGTATGTAGATATTGTGGGGATATTTATGGGATAATAGTAACAGTGAGAATTGCCCACTAATTCAATTCTCAGATCCCAAAGAACGTTTATCGTGTTAAGTGGAATGTATTTCATATAATTAATATCACAATGTATAAAAATAGATTTTATTTATGATAACCAATAATTAACAAATAATATTATGTAACATGCGTGACAATAATCAATGAATATTCAGTATAAAATGGTATGCAATACAAAGGAATGGGTATTACGTTTCAATGGCTAAACGGCATTTTCTGTCAAGAATTCTGACGATTTATGAGGTATCCTTAACACAGACTTAAGTGAAACTTTTCACAGCGAAGAACAGAATTCCTCAGAGTGCAGCGTAAGGTCGTAAAGTTTAGCAGACAGTTAGAATAACCCTTTCAATGCTGGCTAGATCTCCTAGGTAGTTAAGATCTATTCTTATGTAATTTTTAAATAAAATAACATTTAAACCAGTTCACTAGTCATTTTCTTAAACCATCCAATAAGAGAATCTAATATATTATATAAGCAGATTTTTAATTTGTCTAAAAGATATCTATCTTAATTTAGAGCAAATCAATACACCTGGATAAAAACAGCGGTATGCTAACACGTGATAATATCACATCAATATATAATTATTCTTAATTCCACCTGCAGAATGGAATATTTATAACTATATATTCTTAGTTAACTAAGATTTCTTAATATGGAAATCTGACCGTGCTTTATCCAGTCATATATAATGCTATTAATACATTTTAATTAATTTAATTTAATTAAATGAAACCAGTATAATTACCAGTTGAGTAGATATTTCATCCGATTGGTAGTCTCAGGAACTTATTTGGATGTCTCTCTCTGCATGGAGGTTGGAGTCCCCAAACTTCCAATTCCTCTCTCCTCTTTTTCTTTGCATATCTCTTGCCTCCTATCGTATCTTGTATCTTCCCTTTGTCTTAACTTTTAAAGGGCCAGACTCTCTGTACGTCATCAGTTGATAACCCAATAGAAGCACTAGGGGTGTGGTTATCTTCCAGATCGCAAATTAGGTATTTGGTCTATAGAGGGCAGTCTTGTCCCACTAAACATACCTATCCAGGGAAGAGTTAACTTTTCCTGGTGGCTATTTTGACGTCATTTTGCGTTATCTTTATAGCGCCATAATTTAAAATTTCAAAGGGTTTCTTAAATTTTGTCCAGACTTAGCGTCTGCAATTCCTGCCATAATTTCTGATATGACAGATCATGAACTAAGTTTACCCTTTTCCATACAATGGTACCTTATATATATAGACAGTTAAATATTAAATTATTTAATCTTCTCTGTCACAATTGTCTGGGTTTAGATTTGATTATATTCTTCTTATCACTTGTTTATACTATGCATTCCTTAGCTCTGGCAAAGAGGCCAGTCTTACAGAAAGAAATCCTGTGTCTCTTTGTTTTTGTTAACTTGGAATAACAAAATGGAGTCTGATCTGTTCAGAGTGACTCAGAATATACACTTTTAGTTTCTATCGTAGCACAAAATGTCTGCCGATATAAATACCCTGACAATATGGAGTACCTGAAGTGATTGAAAGTGACAGAGGTAGCCATTTCCCTGGGGAAATAATGCAATAAATTATGAAAGCCTTAGGGATCAGTCAGGCCTTCCACACCCGCTATCACCCCCAGAGGAGTGGGAAAGTAGAAAGGGCAAATGGCACCTTAAAGAACAAGACTGCAAAAGCCATGCAAGACACAGTGAAGTCCTGGACTGAATGCCTCCCCCCAGCACTCCTTTTCTATGAGATTCAGACCCAATTCTAGACATGGCCTATCCCCTTTTGAGATACTGCTTGGATGTGCTCCAAAGACAGTCCTTTATTTTCCCCAGACCCTCCAGATTCAGCATGGTAGTATGACTGCCTATGTACAGGCCCTAGAAGAGATACTTATGGACAACCAGGCAAAAAAGAAGGCAATCCTTGAGAATACAGCAGCCATTGACTTTAATAATTAAG